TCGATTGTTTTAAGTGGGAATGACGATAAAGCACTTACATCTGGTACTGATACTGAGCCAGCTCAATCTATATAACATTACACGCACACGTTAATAAGAGTCGTCTTAATATTATTCTCCAACCTCTGTCTTGCATTCCGAAGTTTTCTTTATTCACTGGGTTTCGCAACCAAATTTCTGTATGGCTCCGTGTTTCAGCTGTTTCCATTACGCTCTTCATGAATGCTATGAAGATACGAAATGATGATATCTGCATCTCGTAAGGAAACTATTCTTTATAAGTTTTGAGGTCTTCGCGGCGATGACTATGAAGAAAGTCGTCTTCTGGGTTTAGGCGCCGTGTATTCTTCGTTTTGGCCGACGTAGCAGTAGCTACTGCTCTCTGCATTCCAAGCCATTCAACTGCTCTGAAGATGGAGGCGATACGTTCCTCCGAAACGTCGGCCAAAACGAAGAATACACGGCGCCTAAACCCAGAAGACGACTTTCTTCATATTCTTTATATTGTGGAGTAGGTGGTTTACTTTTCCTGAAACGGCAAATATCTACAGCCCGTCCTAGAGATGCCACTCTGTTTCCTAGAACATTCTTCCTTCTCTCCCTCCCCCGCCCCGACTCCACTAACAAGCTCGTAACAAAGTTGTACTCTACCTTCCGATCGATAACGGAATTAGTGCCGACGAGTGCGAGCCTGGATTATCATTTTAATTGAAATCTCGTAATATCGCAGCTTATTAAATAAGAAGCGATGTAATATGAAGGTAATTGAAATTCTCGCTAACATGAAAAAGGTGGCAGATTACCCCACAGGAGAAGTAAATCACTCCACAACTCGGTGATATGTAACAATGTGATTTATATAAAACAAACATAAATGAAGCCTTCATATCTCTCTCGTTCACCCACTTTATTAAAATTGGTATTCGCTATCACCTAGGTACACGTAATGATGCTTGCCATTGTGTTAATGTCTTCAATACTATCCACTGTTTATGTTTTAATGTTTCGGTAAGAGTTTCTGTTTCCGACTTAAGGCAAATGTGGGATATATAATCTGATGTGTCCGTTGACCAGGTTTAGTCTTAATTCAGTGACTGTGACTAATTTTCTATTGCTAGTGGGGTGGGACTAAGTCCCTTTTACTGCGGCCACTTCTGGCCTATGTTACCAGCCACAGATGATAGGTGAGGGTGATTGTGGATCAATTGGTGGAATGAAGAATGAGAGGGGAAACCGAAGTACTCGGAGAAAACCTGCCCCAACGCCAATTTGTCCACCACAAATCCCACTTGACGAGACCCGGGATATAACCCGAGCCGAGCGGCCTCCGTAGTCTAGAGGTAACGTTCCAACCTCATGACTCGTAGTACGCGGGTTCAAATACCCGGCGGAGGTCGTCGAATTTTTAAGGGCGGAAAATTTGAGGGAACAAGTCCTCCGGGAGGGACTTTAAGCCGTGGGTCCCTTGGCGTAGTTTTACGGCACGTAAAAGAACCTCATACCTCCAAAGGAGGTCACTGAGCAAAATTAAGGGACGTTTGCCGCCCAACAGCAGTCTCTAATACCTCCGGTAGATGGAGGAAGCATTATAGATACCTCTCAGCTAGTAGAGTCGGTCTCGCTGGCTGGGCGGGACTGATGGTAAGCACCAATATCCGTAGGATATAGAGACTGGTAGAAATCATAGAGGGAAGCACAATGGACCACTACAGGTCTAAGTGCATGGGGAAACCCAGCCTCTCTAATAACTAACTAACCCGATCCGCTGCGGTGGAAAGCCAGCGACTAACCGCTTGAGCTATGGTGCGGCCTGATTGTGACTAACTCATTTCAATCTATTGACTGATACTATTTCTAAAAGACCCTGTAGGTTATTGCCCTTTCATTTTTGCATTAATACGGAAGTAGCAACAAGGTGGATGAGGTGGGCAGGGCATGTAACACAAATGGGGGAGTAGAGGAATGCATATAGCATATTGGTGGGAAACCCAGAAGAAAGACGAAGGCGTAGGTGGATGGATAATATTAAAATGGATCTTAGAGATATAGGATGGTATGGATTGGATGATCTGGCTCAGAATAAGGACCAGCGGGAGGCTCTTGTGAACACGGCAATGAACCTTCGGGTTCCAAAAAATGCTGGGAAATGAGTAGCTGGAGATTTGGTTTCTCCTCAAGAAGGACTCAGTTGCATAAGTAAGTAAGTAAGTGAGGAAGTAAGTAAATTCCGAAGTGGTGTGTTTTATACGGTTTATAATATCGAACATACTGAAATTAGGTATGAGGCACCACTTCTAAGGCACTTAGTGCCGAGGCTTCGTTACCACCCGAGAGTGCTGCCACCCGCGGAACATATGTTGTCTTTCAGTCCATCTAGTCTGCAACGATGGCGTCTTTTACTAACAGAGTCTTTTTGTTCGTAATCAAGCTCAAATTTTAGCTATCACTGCTCAGTTGGTTTCCTTACACTGTCAATACCATTGACAATTTTGATTTCGCTATTCTCCGCAACTTATTAACATTTGCTTGATCCGATGTCTTCATGACCGAACAGAAACATCATACGACTACTGGTCAGCAGCCGTCACGTGCATGCTCCTACACAATTTTTACTACTTTAATAACTATGTGGTTTTGTAATTTAATTTATGGTTCAACCATCATTTTTCTTAAAACTCATAGGAGCCAGGAAAGCGCAGGTGGTATATCGACTGGCTACGGGTTGGGTGACCGAGGGTTCGGCATTCGACTCCTGGCAGAGGCAAGACTTTTCTCCTTTCAACGTCGTCCACATCAGTTCTGTGGTCTACCAAGCCTCCTATCCAAGGGGTACCGGAGGCTCTTTCCCCGAGGGTAAAGCGGCCGGGGAGTGTAACTGACCATTCACCAACTAGTGTTGTGGTCAAGAATACATGGATCTATACATCCAATCCTCCATACGTCTTCATACCATAGTGCTTAACTAGTTAAGTTCAGGGACAATTCTACCTTTACCTTACTTAAAAACTCATAAACTGTTATCTTTGACTGATCACAAACTTTACAAAATTTCTTTTGCGTTTTCGACTAACTCTGAATAAAGGGCCGCGCCATACCTCAAGCGGTTAGTCGCTGGCTTCCCACCGCGGCGGCCCGGGTTCGATCCTGGGCCTGGTCAAGTGGGATTTGTGGTGGACAAAGTGGCGCTGGGACGGGTCTTACCCAAGCAGTTCGGTTTCCCCTGCCATTCTTCATTCCACCAAATTCTCCATCATCATAATCACCCGGGGGCAGGTATAATAGGCCAATCAGTGGCCGCCGTGCCGAGTGGACCCAATTGGACTCCACACCCCACTAAGCGAATTTAATTTAACTCTGAATAATTACTCATAGTTTTGATCGTTAAGTTTAAATTTCCTAAACCTTAACGCCATATTTCGATAGCAGCTAACGCATTCGTGGCTACAACAGGAAAGCGATGAACTGCAGCCATATTTTAGCGCACAATTAAAATCGCTTTACTCTTTTCTTTCGTTTGTTAAGAAGCGGAGGTGTTTTACGTAACGGAATTAACTTCTTTCATAACGTCAGCAGTATTCGCTTGTTGTTGTGTTGGGATTTCACTGCTCACTCCGTTAAATTTAACAAACAGCGAATCTGCATAGTTACGCGTTGTAACTACCAACGTGAGAGTGATAAAATAATTCTCTTCTCAAGAGCTTATATATTCATCCCTGCCACCATTTTGTTTACGACTACCCCATCACCCGTCCAGCCACCTGCCACACCAACGCCTTCTAGCAATAATTTGTGTGAACACAAAAACATCCATCTGTTCACAGTCAGTTTCACATCTCTTTTAAGATTGAAAGCTTCATAAAGACGTTTGCACACACGTGAACAGATTCACTGCCCCCAATCATGTGCAAGCTGCTTCTCTACCCAGGGGATGCCGAGACACAAAAATTTGTGAAACGTAAAATTTACCTAATATTCGGCATATCATTTGACTTTTTAATTTTTTTTAATTCGTTTATTGGGTAGTGGAGTCCAACTGGGACCATTCGGCACGGCGGCCACTGATTGGCTTATTGAAGCCCGGCCCGGGTGATTGTGATGATGGAAAATTTGGTGGAATGAAGACTGGCAGGGGAAACCGAAATACTTGGAGAAAACCTACCCCAGCGCCACTTTGTCCACCACAAACCACACTTGACCAGACCCGGGATCGAACCCGGCCCGCCGCGGTGGGAAGACAGCGACTAACCGCTTGAGCTATGGCGTGGCCTATCATTTGACTTAGTAAAAGTTTTTAGTCTAGAACTGTACGAAATGCATTACTCACCGAAAAGGTGCAGCAGTCAGAAAGCGTTAAGGACAACGGACCTGTATAAATCAGCAATAATCTAATGGCCGCAATACCCACTTAACCCTTTCGAAATACCAACTTCAACTGAATGACATTTACGAATTAAGAAAACAGCTACATCTTCGTTTAAATATTAAGCTGTTAATAATGTTCCGGGAAATGATCTCTGTTTATTCTGAGTACCATAAATACTCTAGTGAGCCGGGATAGCGCAGTCGGTATAGTGATTTGCTACTGGCTGCACGACCGAGGGGTCGGAGTTCGAGTCCTGGTGGGGTCAAGAATGTTCTCTTCTCCATATCGTCCAGACCGGTCCTGAGGTCCACCCAACCTCCTATCCAATGGGTACCGGGGACTCTTTCCCCGCGGAGCGTGAAGCTGACCACTCACCTCCAACTAGTTCCGATGTCAAGAAAATGTGGATCTACTCCCACATACGCCTTCATGGCGTAGTGCTTAATTAGTTCAGCACAGGGACACCTTTACCTTTACCTTATCACAAATACTCTGGAAAAATATAGAGTTGTTCTATTATTGAAACTGGTGGTACATTTAGATACCGCTGTGCTTTAAGGGTTAATTCTGTATATGAATACTCAGCAAGTGTACAAAGCATTCAGAGCCGATGTGAAGGAACGGTACCAGTACTCACCATCGCCCCTTTACAGCTTTGCTTCCCTGCAACATGGGTCCAAGTCCACTCAGCTTCGAGACCTGTAAGAAGGAAACGGATAATTGTAGAACCTCAGGGAATCACGAGAAAAGCGTCTTCCAATAAAATTAAATTACGTTACAGCTCCTCTTCTGCCGACAGGAATGCTCCTGTTACTTCTAGAACTTCTAGAATTATAACCGATGTATCACTAGGAACATTCCATTTAAAATTCACATCCACTTTATATATTCAGTGAAGAACTGAACTGACATGGAACCCCAACAAGGTCCGGTTATTTGTGTTCAAAAGAAGAGCTTCCCCTCGCCAATACGTTGAGTGTTCAAGGCTCTCAACAGACTGAATTGTTCTAGCATTTGTTTATAATTGTGTGTAGTAAATTCCTCTTGAAATAGTCTTCCGTCTCTGTTAGGTAGCTCAGATTCTTAAGTTCACTTGTATTTTCTTCCATACTGTACGCCATTTTCTCTATTTTAGGAGCATCGTCGGCAAGGAAACAGCAAATTTCAAATATTAACCAGCGTAATGTAACACAGTCCACTCATTCTAACCTAAGTGAAGGAAACCGAACTTAAAACAATGAAAGAAAACGGACGAAGATCTACTTCTCATATAAGAACAAACAGTGGATTTAACTTATTGTGCACAGTCCTCTCGTGTCCTTCTACACAGCGAACGTCGGAAAGGAAAAACGCCAGGCACACGGGATACAGACCAGTCGACTGCGCTCCGCAAGTAATTGGCGATAACTTGTACAATTTCGCCTAACGAACTCGGGCTCATGTTCCGAGCTCTCATCTCTCGGCTATAGCAAGACTCTGGTTCTTTCACTGCGTGTTCATATAACGCAGATACTGATGGTAAATTTAAAACTTTTATTTTTAACATCATATATGACCCGAACGAACTGGGATCTGACTGAAATTCGGTTTCTATAAAGAAAATTTCACAGAACTATGAAGTACCGGCAATTCGAACATTTCATTATGGTTTTCAGTTTCCCGTCATGGCGGCTGACTTGTACCGAACTAACACAAACTTTGTACCAATCTCACTCCCAACATTTTACAAATATCTATTGTCGTTCATTTTACTGTGTTCCAAATCCTTGTACACCTATACAATTTACTCAGAGATCGCTCGAACGCTGGAAACGTTGGTTCGAATCCCATTCAAGGCATGAATGTCTGTGTGCGTTTATTCTGTACATAGGTAGCGGCCTTGCGACGGGCTGATCCCTCATAGAAGAAGTCCTATCGACTGTGTGTAGGATCAAGAAATTGAAAAAGTGGCCAATGTCCAGCAAAATGACCGTAGAGCCATAGATGGATATGCAATATTAGAGATACAAATGACACTGGAGGAGGGGATTGTCTCACGAGAGGTTGGCGCACCCCGTCTGCGTAACGAGAAGTAACTGGCCTTGCAGACAAAACCAGAGGTGCCCAGCAGCTGGCCTCAGCGTCTGTGAACACAACATGCTTTGTAACATCTGAGATTTCAACGGCGGTATGAAGAATGCCATCTTCTGGGACGGGGAGCCGTGTAGATTTAGTGTGAACCGACGTTTCGGAGGAATGTATCGTCTCAATTTTCAAGGTAGAAAAATCCGCGAGCGAGGAAATAGCGTGAACTGGTTGCTGCCAGTCCGCAATCTGAAGATGGAGGCGATACGTTCCTCTGAAAATTCGGTTCACACAGCATCTACACGGCGCCACATCCCAGAAGACGGCAGTCTTCATTTTAACGTGTTATTTGAACCATGTGCAAAGCTATGGAACCTCTGCAGCTGAAACAGCATCATTACAGAAGTGACGACTTAACTGTAAGTAGTTTGATAAAAAGTATGATTACAGTAACGCAGCTGAAGTGTTTTAGTGTCATGAGGACACTGACTACTGCTTGGTTGTGACAAGCGGCATTCAGAACTTCGGAACTCCTTTGTTACGACTGTCAACTCATCATGAACTAAGCATTCCGCTCGTCGCATCTGATGCCTTCTCTGTGTTTATACCGACTTCATTGTCATCGCAAATGAAGTAAAAACTTATTATTCTGTTACTTTTAACGACGCGTTATCAGCAGAACACGAGAATTAGTTACAAATGCTGAACTGGATAGGACACAAGCTCCTTGTCTCAGACTGCATGGCGGTACTAACTCAGAACGAAGACAGTTAGGAAAGCCATGATAACATCGCAGAATAGAATGGACTAACCATCGCAGAGGTTATAGAACAAAATTTTAAAAATCCGTGGCCTGTAGTCTGCAAGCGAATTATACCGACCACGCGACCGCCGCTTGTCGGCGAAGTTAGTGCCAACTCTGTGGTCTAGTGGTCAGAGTTCCTGGCGACAGATCCAGAGGTCCCGGGTTCGATTTCCGGCGTTACCAGATGTTCTGAGAAGTAATGGGTGTGGAACGGGGTACACTCAGCCTCGTGAGGAAAACTGAAGAGCTATTTCAAGGAAATAGCGGCCCCGGTCTAGAAAACTGAGATTAACGGCCGTAGGGATCCGTTGCCCTGACAACGCGACACGCTCTATCCGTTAAAAGAGGTTATAAAAACAATAAAAATATAAAGAGCTGATCGCGGTATTTTAAAAATAATCTTCTGTATTAGGTCAATTCCATATAAAATCAGCTGAAATCTAGGATAGGTAGAAAAAAGTTCAGGGGTTCATGTTGCTGCAATAACAAGCTCTATAATGGCATCTGCTTTTCATACTCTGCACTCAGTGTAGGTATTTTCAGCTATCTGCAATAATCCAGTGTAGTTACGTCATTTAGACAGCTCCACGTTTTTCCACCTTGAATTATGAATTTTGAGAATGAGAAGGGTGGACACCGCTTTGGTTCACAATATTGATCTCACTGCAGAGTAGCACGCTCAGACAAAAGGGGCGTGGCCCAATTCGAATACTGTGCACTCAAACAGAAAGACATGGGCCAATGTCAACACCACACACTGAACTACAGGGGTACGGCCCATTCCAAAGGTTGTACACTCAAACATAACGGCATGGCCCAAAATGAAAATTATGCACTCAAACACAGAGGTTTCTTTCAGTGTGAAAATTCTGTACACTCAAACACTGGGCCTACCCAATGAGAATACTGCAAACCGAAGCACAGACGCACGCCATACTGTGCGCACTGCTTTCAGACAACAAGACAACAACAACTCAGCACACGGAAGTCTTCATGTCAGTACTGGATATTTAAACACAAGGGTGTCCATTTGTGTGAACACTATACACTCAAACATAGCGGTGTGCCTGAATAAGAATTTTGCACATTCAAAACAAAGGGTCCTACTGAAATGTGAACAGAGCACAGTAGAATACTGGGTGTGTTCCAATGTGAATATTGCACTGTCATCCAAAGGGTCACACCAAAAAGCAGAGGAGCATATCCCAACACGAAAACTACACTCTCAAACGTAGAGGTATGCCCAACTGTGCATACTACACAAGCTATTAGTGTGCTTTGGAAGTGTTGTCTATCCACCCGGTTGTATAACTCGGATATTACTAAAAACAGGATCGCAATGAATGTCTATACCAAGTTGCAGATGGAGGAGACGCCCTCCAGGTATGGAGGAAAGATCCGAATATACTGAATAAGCACTCACCGACAGCCCAGTAAGGTGGTCCTCCATCTTGGGAGTTTGCTGTGGGGCTAAAAACTCCTCACCGTAAAAATAAGCTTGTTACGAAAAATTGCAAGAAGCCTCGGACCTGGAAGGGTCCCTTGGATAAACGACCTAAGCGAAAGAAAATGGATATGAGATTTAATACTTGGAATGTTAGACGTATGTATAGGGCAAGTTCGCCCAGGGCAGCGGCAGTAGAAATATGAAAATATAAGATTTATCGGGATTACAGGTCAGATGGGACAGAGGTGGCAGGCGAATATACATTTTTCTACGGAAGGGGGAATAAGAATCGTGAATTAGGTACAGCTTTTTAGCACATAAGATAATCATATCAGCAGTTAAGAGGGTACAGTTTGTCAGTGATAGGATGTCATACGTAATACTAAGAGTTTGCAGGTGTGACATCATTGTTCTGAATGTTCATGCTCTAAGAGAAGATAAAATTTATGGCATGAAGGCCAAGTTCTGAGAAGAATTAGAATATGTATTCGATAAATTCCCTAAATATCATATGAATATTTTGTTAGATTTCAATGCTAAAGTATGCAGGGAAGACAGTTTCACACCAACAATTGGGAATGAGAGTTTGCACGAAATTAGTAATGATAATGGAGTTATAGTAGTAAACTTTGCCACATCGAAAAATCTTACTGTCAAAAGTACGATGATCCCAAGTGCAGACTTCAAGAAAGCCTATGATTCAGTTAGGAGGGAAGTATTGTACAATATTGTGATAGAGTTTGGGATACCCATGAAACTAGTTAAGCTGATTAAAATGTGTTTAAACGAAACGTATAGTAAAGTCCTTGTAGGTAAACATTTGTCTGAAAAATTTCCTATCCAGAATGGTCTAAGACAAGGAGATGTTTTATTGCCACTCCTTTTCAACTTTGCTTTAGAATACGCCATTAGTACGGTCCAGGAAAACCAGGTGGGACTGAAATTAAATGGGACACATCAGCTGTTGGTCTATGCCGATGATGTGACTCTACTGGGTGATAATGTAGATACCATAAAGAAAAACTCTCAATCTTTAATTGACGCTAGTAAGGAGGTTGGTCTAGAAGTAAGCACAGAGAAAACTAATTATATGTTACTGTCTCGTCACCAAAATGCAGGGCAAAATCGTGACATAAAGAAGGAAACAGATATTTTGAAAATGTGGCACAGTTCAGATATTTTGGAACAACGATAACAGATCTAAACCTGATTCAGGAGGAAATTAAGAGGCGATTGAACTCGGGTAATGCTTGCTACCATTCAGTCCAGAACCTTTCGTCTTCTCGTCTGCTGCCAAAAGACATAAAAATTGGAATATACAAAACTATAATTTTTCCTGGGGTTCTGTATGTGAGTGAAACTTGGTCTCTGACATTAAGGGAG